CTCAAATCCAGTTTAAGACACCTGTTGGTAAATGTATAATAAATCTATTAGTTATAAGTATACCGTTAGATAGCTAAAGTTTTTTATCCTTTTCAGTTGCTTATTGTGACTTCCTAGATCTTCCATGGGCACGCGAAAGGTGTAAAAAAATCGATTGAAACAAGAAGGAAAAATCGAAAACCAGTTTCTCGAGAACTCGCCACCAGCCAAAAAATTGTTTCAAGAAAATGTTGTTAAAATTGTCTTTTGCCGCGCAATTCGGTCTATTTCTCGATCAGGCTTACTGTTTATCGTGGTTTTTCGATTTTAAAAAAACATATTATGGGTTAAACGATCCTGATACGGTTGATATTGGTATCTTAAAGACAAATTGTAGATTCTAAAAGACATCTTTCATCAAAAGTATTTCGAAAATCTGCAATTTTCGGCTTAATTCTCGGGGGATTGTTCTGTCATCTTTGATCCCTTGCTATCATTTAGTTCGAGTTCCCCGGCAGAAAATTCCCTAATTTTTGGACTACCGTAGCTCTCATCAATTTCGCTCAAGCAAGCGCCTTTCCGTTTAATAATTCTTTATAAAGAGAATTTCCTTATATACCTATTCCCCCATTAAAAAAGCATCATCGATCATTCTTGCCCAGCTGGTTTTTATCGAAAAAGCCAAAAAGCAAGCCATTTTACCGATATACCTACCTACCTGATATACCTCTAGTTAACGAATTTTCGAAATGTACGTTTCATAAAATCTTAAAAAATAACGATTTCCGTAATGCTTTTTCCTTGTCGTAGTTTTTCTATGGGCCAAAGAACCTATTACAAACATGTTTCACTAAAAATATTGCTAAAAGCGCAGTTTTTTTTAATATTAAAGAAAGAGGCTTTAAGGGAATACTACAATTTGAATAATAAAGAGAGATCACAAAAGCTTTATCATTGTTCCAAAAAACTTTAAATTTTGCAACAAAATGTTTCGCAAAAAATATTGGTAAAAGCCTCGGTTTTTGGAGTAATGACATATTTTCAAAATTCAGAAGTTTACTTGGTTCCCCCAGGTTATTTATTTTTCGATATGAATTCATTCACCTTTCCAAATTATCTCCTACCTTTCAGCTGGCACCGCGACGTCGCCGAGCCGTGCGGGTTCTGTAGATGAACCTCGTACTCGCCGGCGTCGTCATCGAGCGCTCGGCGGATGCGCAGCCACGAGATCCCGTCCTCGGAGATGATTTGGTAGAAACTGAATGAGGGTTCTTCGTTTTGTATTTTTATCCCTTTTGGATATTTTTATATTATTTATTTTATCAAAAAACTATATTATATTTTCTTTTGGATTTTTTTTATTCACCTGCGATTAAAGTTTCAGCTCCATTTATTAAAAGACGTCTACCCCCATGATGGCATGAAACTTCAAAATTCTTTCAAACATTTGTTGAATTTTTCATGGATTATTAGATTAAGTTTATTAAGGACTTAATTTTTGTATTTTTTTTGTATATTTTATAAAAAAAAATAAGTATTGCTGTTTATTTATTTTTGGTGAGTTTACACTGGAAATCGAATTCCCTGGTTTCCTGAGACATCTACCCCGAGAAGGCATGAAACTACAGAATCTTTTTAAATTTTCTGATGGTTTTTTCAGGCATTATTGAATTATGTTTATTTAGGGAGCGTTTTGTATCGATTTTGGTCGGTTTTAATGGAAAAATTAGATATTCTTAATTTATTTTATTCCTGAGTCCAGGAACGATCTGTAGTATCTCAGGTTTCTACGTTCTAGGTTACCCCAAGAACACGCGAAACTTCAAATTTCAAAAAATTTTGTTGAATAATTGTGCTGATTAAAGGGCTAGCCAAGCCTTGAATAATACCTTTAATAATAATCTAAAAATTTTTCGTTAAGTTTTCTAAAGATTTTTGCATTTTAAATTTAGTTGAATTTTCAATGTTTCATGCGAACCTACTCAACCTGAATTTTTGTGAGTTTGATTACGACAGGACGGATAGTTCTAGCTATACGAGTAATATTTATAGATTAACATAATCAATTAAAAAAAAACGCTAGTTGGATGTGCTGTCAAAATCCCGAATTTTCGAAACATCGGCTTTTACCAAAAATTTACATGTTTAAATTATAAGGTTCCATAAATATATCTACAACACTAAAGACGTCAATTAAAAGAAACCTCAATGCCCGAAAAACTGTTTAAAATTTATTTTAATTGAAAATGAATGCATAGTCGGTTCGAAATAGCGCCGGAAATGCGAAGAATTCAGAAACATCCGATTTCAAAGGAAAAGTGCTCGAAATAACAATCAAGTTCAGTTACAACGTTAAAATATGTAAATCAAAGGATCCTTGCAGCTACAAGTTTTTTGCTTTTAAAGGATGGTTTAGCGCCTGGCGATATTACCTATCTATTTATCGAGCAAAAGGTCCAAAATTCCAAAACATCCGATTTTTATCGGAAATTCTTAAAGGGGCTCCGAAATCTGGTCCACGGCCCCCTGCTGTGATTCCTGGCAATAGCTGGATGCGGCTGCAACGCGACCGCGCTGCATGATCTTTTGCCTCTCTCTATCACCGGCGCGAAAAACGCTTGAATTTAAAAAATTTCGATACTAGCTTTTTCGGAAATCAAGAAGAATTTTGATCATTCCAGACTTTTAAATTATGAAAATTGACCAGAGAATGACCGAGATTGAGAGATTGGGTGCCTGCTAAGCAGCATTACGACATGGAATGCTTTTCGTGCACTCAAAATGCTCAGTAATAATTGTTTTTCTCAAACATTTAACGTTTTTTCGCACTAAATCACTTTTTTGGCGCTTCTGGGCAGTGACTTTCTTTTGTTTTTGACCCGTAGGTTCAATCCACGCACGCACGAATTTTGACTTTAGAGCCCCTTTTAATTAAAACTAATTGTAAAGCTCTTTATACATATCTGCACTCGCAAAAACATCTAGATTAATGGGAAGCTCGTTTAATCAAAAAGTTTTTCAACTTCCACGGCATGGTTTCTGGCCCATTACCTGTGAATACACGAACGGAAATACCCAAACTACCGAAACAACGGATTTCCTTTAAATAAAACTTTGAAAAATTCTAAATTTAAAATACCTTATAGAGATTGTAAAAATGTCTTCTATTAGGTTCCATTATTCAAATAACATTTTTAAACCGGAAAACCCACTCGGAATCCCGAATCTCCTGTCCATTTTTCCTCCATTTCGCCTCGGGCAAACGGGTGGCGGGTGCACTTTGACTTCAGGCGAATTAAATGGACTCCTGAAATTTATCAGGTTTAATTTTTCAAATAAAAATTTTCATAACAATATCAAACCCCGTGAAACAGAGCATTATTAAAGAATTCTAGTAATTTCTCTCTCCGTGGCTTTCATGGAAGACATTTTCCGAACTTTTTGGGTGGTAATAATAATTTTATTTTTGGCTAGTTGGCCGAGTATTTGTAAAGGCTAACAAGGAGTCGTTTTTAGGTGATATTGGAGTTTTTGAGCGAGACCTAGCTAGGTCTGATAGAGAAAAAATTCTTATAAGATGTCGTTTTCCAAATTTGCTAACCGTGGCTTGTATTCAATAAAAAATGAATTTTAATGAAAAAATCTCTGGACGTCAGGCTACGACCTTGCGGCTGACAGGTTGTGACCTTAGTTGATCAGGCCCGGGACATAGCCCACAGCGCGAACCCGCATCCGCATGAGATGGTGGCCTAGTGGATAGTGCCGGCGCCTTTCAAACTTTTGCAAATTTATGCTCGGAGTTCGGAACTTTTCTTGATTAGCTGTTTTGCTTTTTGGTTTTAAACGCTATTGAGGTCATATTTGGCATCACAGATAAAAAAGCGTTGAGTTTCATCATTGTGAGTCGAACCCGAAGCGCAAAAAAAAGATAAACTTATGAGGCAAGTGCACGCCAATATGCCACGCCGATCATGCTGGTCTCGGCGTCTGAAGGTGGCTGTGTTCACGCACACCCCCAGAGCCAAATCTGCGGATCAGGTGAGAAATGATGGCGAAATTAGTAATTTTCAAATTAGTTTTTGTCGAATACAATACACGGTTAGCAGATTTGGAAAACGACATCTTGTTCAGAATTCTTTTCGATCGAACAAGCTTTAAATCCCGCTCAAAAACTCCAATATCACCTAAAAGCGACTCCCTGTAAGCGAATTGAGGTACTTAAAAAAATCGAAGGAAAACATCTTCACAATCTCCGGAATTTTTTTATTACCGCTATAAAATCTTTATTAAACGTCGCTGGGATGCCGTGCTAAAGTACCTTCCTTTAAAAATATTTTTGTAAAATCCTTGATTCGGTTTGACGCTGTTTTACAACCGATGAAATTTAAAAAATTAATGGACAGGAAAAGTGAAAACTTTTGCAGATTTACTTTTTTTCATAGCTTGATAAGCATTCTAATCTATGCGTATATTGCAGAGGAACCGCTAATTTTTATTACTAAATTTAACTGGAACACATTTTTTGTGCATTAAAACATCGTAAATCTTTGCTTACATTGCGATTAGCCTTTTTGCTATTATGAATAATTGGTTGTAAATTATTTTCGGTTGTAGTTACTCGTGGTAATAATCAGCTGTATTGAATAAAACCTTGGGTCAGTATTCATTAAATTTTAGCCAAAACATGGTTTTTCTCCTCTCATTTTTATTCATATAAACGATCCCTGTCATTTCCCTTGACGCTGTTGAGTTCGTCATTCCTGGAAACCACTTACCGTAATCTCGGTCTGCTCCGGAAGTTCCGTAACGAAACGGGGCGGTTGGGCCAGTGTCGACATTTCGCTCGGGGTTTCCGATTTTTGCCTAACAACGGCCGGGCCCTCGGCCGGTTGCACGATTTGGATCGTGGTTTTGGAGGGTTGCTCTGAAAAAGTTAAAATTAGTCGTTAAAGTTAAAGTTAAAAAGTTTGAATTTTCTCCGGAATCTCTGCTAGCCTGCCCTGTTCTCGGGGTCCGTTCATTCCCTCAATGCCTTTCTAGGTATCGGACCAGTTCGCCGAAAACCATCTCGCCGAAAACCATCTTGCCGAAAACCACCGCCGAAAACCATTTCGCCGAAAAACCATCTCGCCGAAAGCCATCTCACCGAAAACCATCTTGCCGAAAACCTTTCTAACGTGGCAAATCATTAGCAATTTTTTTCCGAAGAATGGTTATAGAGCGAAGAAGTAGTGTTGCGGTAGCAAAGGGGCCGGGGGTAAAAGTTCGCCATCTGGCCCACTGATTGGGCATGTCAGGGGCACCGAAAACCTGATGATAGGGCGGTCGTCCGCGATGGAGGCTGGTTGGAGCGGCCGACCTTTCGGCGATCCCGGCCCACCCTGGCACCGTATCCGAGCTGCTCGGATATGAGTGACCTTAACGTACCGTAATTTTTGGAAACCCCCTTCGGGGGGCGCTAATGAGAACGGAGTTGGAGACAGCGATCGGGTTCTGAAACTCCCAAACCCCACGGAAAGGCGCCCGAAGGCTAGGCGCTAGGCGGCTTCTCAAAGATTCTCTGCTAGCCTGCCCTCCTTGTGAGCTCCGTCCATTTCCTCAAAGAATCTGCAACGTACCCTCGACAAATACTTGGCACGTAGATGAGGTGACGCCGTACGGATTCTCGGCGTACACCGTAAATCGGATATTCTGCTGGAGCGAATTCGGGTCGAGTCGCAGGAGGGCGATGCCGTCTTCGTAGAGTGCGGTTTCGCTGAAATTTGCATCTTTTTTGCTAATAAAAATACACTAGAAGAAAAATATTGCGCCAAGCTCCCTTGTCAACATTGAACCAAAAGCGTTTAATGCAATCGTTCCTTGTAACCCATAAAAGAAAGCTCGCCTAATCATTGTCTAGTATCAAAGTGTCGTGTGCCATTTTAGCGTTGTTTTTCGAAAAAGTGATTAGGATCAATCATGAAAGAGGTGGAGAATTGAAATCAGTACAGCAAAAAATTTTTAAAGACAAGCGAGAGGTACGAGTAGAAATATATGTTGCGGACGACTGCCTAGTAGAATTTTCGAAAATTACGTTAGTAGGCTCAGGCTTCCTCAATCAATTAACTTCATGCCTTGTATGTTTTTAACCAAAACTATGGGTCTAATTACCTGCGAAAGTTTTGTGTTGGTTCTAATTACCATTGTTTTTGTGATTGCTATTTTGAATTTTTCAAATAACGTCGTTGGGCTGAATGTTAGAATTTTTGGGAAATTGCAGCGATTTTTAGTGGTGGAATTATCTTAAATTTCTAAAATATCTGGAATAATCGCGTTCTGGTCTATCAGTCCATATACCAAACCATTTATAGCAATGATTTAATTATTTTTTAATTAAATAACCGTTTAATTTTGTTGTGAAATCTAAGATATATTCAAATTAAATTTACCCGTCCATCGGAATTTGCTCCCCATCCCGTTCCCAGTGAACTTCTGGGAGGGGCTGGCCTCCGAAAGTGGCTCGTAGAGTCAACGGGTCGGTGCGCTAAAAATGGGTTGATAGTGACTTTAAAGGGAGAGAGAGAGAGAGAGAGAGAGAGAGAGAGAGAGTGAGTGACAGAGAGAGAGAGGGAGGGATGGTATGAATAAAAGACCTGCAGATTACACCGACGGGAGATTATTCGAAACTCTTTAATATTGACCTTATATTTTTCTGAAACATGGCGAGAGAGTGAGGGAGTGAGAGAGATAGAGAGAGAGCGAGAGAGAGAGAGAGAGAGAGCGAGCGAGAGCAAACGGGAGAGAACGCGACAAAAAGAGAGCAGGAGTTAGAGAGAGAGATAGAGAGATTGCGTTTACCTGAATATACAGCGTCTTCGGCAGCGGCTTGGCGGCGTACGGCGCCTGGCCGATTCCGCTTGAAGTCGTAGTGTCAGTGCGTAGCGACGCGTCGTCGATAGAGGTATGCGACGAACCGGGCGCTTCAATTCCAGGCTGGACCAGTGGCTCTTGTAACGAATCGGAACCTTAAAGCGAGCATTAGCCTGAAAAATATGTTGCATCGGTAATGCGCTTGCGCAAAGTATTTATTAGTGTAATCGACTTCGCGCATCATCGAGGAATCTTTTTTAATCTTTTCTCGAAGCCCAAGGTATCCATTCCGCAAAAATCTCTACAAGCTTGCCATGGCAGGCCAGTACAAAAATTACAAAAATTATGAGCTGGTTTAATTTTGAAAAAATGAGTTGCAACCAGGGTTGGTCACAATGATCGGGGGTCCGCGTCCGTCCGCGTCCGCTATGCAAATTACGGACGCGGACGGACGGGTCCGGACGCAACGGACGCTACAGAGTCCGCCGGACGCCGGAAGGTCCGCGATGCAAAGCACAAAAGCGGATGCTAATTACAGGTGTCCCTGGTTTAGGAAAGCGTAGGATCATAATCTGACTTGCATCCTTGACGTTGACTTAGAATAAAACACAAAAATCACTGTCACCGTCCAAGGGAAAGCGCTAAAAAGTTTGAGCAAACGAAAAGCTTTGAGATTTTAGTGCAATGTTCCATTGTTCTTGAGGTTTAGTACTAGTTTCTTCGTTTCCGACTTGCTTTTGTGTAACTATTTGGACAAATGACAATTATTTTTTGTCATGATCCAAGTCAACAAGAATATTCAAATTAGGTCTGTGGTGATGCGCCTTCCTAAGCCGCAGACTATTGAATTAACATTGTGATCTGCAATTTGCATCGCGGACCTTCCGGCGTCCGGCGGACGCTGTAGCGTCCGCTGCGTCCGTCCGGGTCCGGACGAGTCCGTCCGCGTCCGCAATTTGCATACGGGTCCGGACGCGTCCGTCCGCGGACGGACGCGGACGGACTTTCGATCATCATGACCAACCCTGGTTGCAACTAATTTTATTGTTTGCTACGTGGTCTGTGGGCTAATTTTCGTTCCAATAATCTCTGCTAGCTTGCCTTAACGCACCCACCTCTCTACGTAACGTTAGAAAGTAGCAAGTATTTTTTAAGGAAACGTGTTGCATATTTTCGTATGATTTAAGGTGCGCACAGAAGTTCAATCAAGCTAAGCTGGCAATCGACAACAATTTGATAAGCCAGAGCTCGTCAAATTAAAGAAGAGCACAGGGTTTTAAATAAAAATTCCAAACAAAAATTAATAGCTAAAAACTGTCTTTTTACAATTTCTGCTATGCTACCTCCATTGATTTTCCTTGCAGCCTTTCTTTTCCGCCTGGACACTTCAAAAAATCCTAACCTAGAATTTGGCAGAAAAGTGTTTCAGCTATATTTAGCATTCAAATGCCGAACATAAATTTAGTAGGCGAAAAGTTTGGCGGATAAAATTTCGTTCCGATTGAGATTTTAAAGATTCTCATGGAGCAGCGTACAATTTTAATCGGTTCTAATCAATTTTAATTTCATCAGCGCAAAAATGATTTAAAAATACCTCTTGGCTTAATGTTGAGTACGGTAGTGGTGACGGCGCGGCCCGCGCTGCTCGTCGCCTCACAAACCATCTCCCCCACCAATCTCGGGGAGAAATCGCGAATCTCGAGGAACGAGACCCCGTCCTCGCTGACCACGTTGAACTGGCTGAAATCAGATGAATTTTAGTTTTCTGAAAAATAGTATGTTTTAAGGAATTTTTGGTCATCACACGCGGGTTGGTCGGTAATAAACTATTTATTTTGCAAAATATCTGTACAAATAAAATTTTGTTCAAGTCTGTATTATTCTTTAATGCCAAATTTAAATTAGATAAAACAAGTTAACCCCGTGCTATCTTACAACGTTGACAGCACATTAATTTTTTTAGCAAAAATAGCATGTTTCAACAAATTTTAAGCAAGCTGTCCACACCATCCGGCTAATTGTGTTCCATACTGAGTTTCGGAAATGTCTCGCTTATACCAAGACACTTCATCAAAAATTGAAAACGCTTAACTTTAATTAAATTAAATGATTAAGAATGAGGCCCGGTCTTCGCGTCATACGTTGAATTCCTTGAAATCGAATTCTTTTGGCTTTATTTTTCGAAAAAGGTGCTTATTTTTCAACGCCCAGCGCTCAGCCGACTAATAAAAAGTCTCTTTGTGCCGACCAATTAATGTTGTTTTTGATGCATGGTATTTTTCGTAAAAATTAAAAATTTGAAAATGTCGCCATTAGATTAATTAAATTAGATTTACGATGGATGAAAAATGCAGGTTTTATACGTTGTACAAAAATAATCGCCTGGGAAATGTCGGTGTTTCGAAAAACAGCGGGCCTTCTAAGAATTTTTCCATTAATGCGTTGCATTAACTGCAACTTGAAATTTGGCAAATCAGTTTTCCTTCAGAAAATGGAAATTGCAAAAAAGATTATGGAAAAATTTTCATGTTTCAAAAAACTTATTGGGGCTGCCGCAGTTTTTCCTACTAATTATTTAACCCTAATTGCTCCTTTACCACAAAATCCTATAAACAACGCCTTAAAAACGTACTCATTCCGCTCCACCGGATTGCCGCCAATGTACCACGCGACGTCGGGCAGCGGATTGCCGCGGAACAGCACCTTGAACACCACGCGGGCGCCCTCCTAAAATATAATATTTAATTTAATTAACTGAAAAAGCTAGGAAATTCCATATTTTACTTCTATAATTAATGTATACTACTTTATTTCCTATTCTTTTCCATAATTTTTTTCAATTTACGGAGAAACGCCCTCGAAATCAAAGCCTTAATAATTTTTTTAGCTAGTTGTTTTATGAAAACTAATTTTTCTAAAAAATCTCGAACTTAGATATCGACGTTAGGAACTAATTTTAAAATTCAATTTTTAATGCTCATAAATTTTATTATGCTCTCCTAAAATTTTGAATTCGGTAGACTCTTTAGCTTCTATAAAACTCTATATTTTATCCAGTTTTTGAACTCAAACACCCTTTTGAAAGTGCTCGCTACAAAAGATAACCTGGAATTAGGTGCAAAAACAATAAACAAAATCTACTTGATTTTCTGCAACCCACTTTTTCTAAATTCAAAGTGAATTATTAGGTTCCATCAATTTCTAATATATAAATTTATGTACAAAAAATTAATAAATCACTTTACGATCTATTGTATGCTAGTGGCCCTTGTTCTTAATTCTACCTCAATAACATATCCCTCCTTCAGCTGCACGACGAAAATTGGCCGGTTGTAGACGGCGCTCGACGTCAAGGAGGTCAGCGTCTCGGCCCGCGAGAGTTCTGAAAAAAAATAGATAATTAATTAATAGATAGGTATCCGAAGTTGTAGTTGTAAAATATTTTGATAGAGTCTTGAGTCAGCTCTAATAAATTTTTCGACTTTTACAACACAATGAAACACCTTTTTTACACCTTTTTCTCGTCAGTTTCTCGCTAAAATCGTCAAAGTTACAAACGATAGGGGAGTATTAAGTTTCAACTAGTTTTCGAAAATCAGTACGTAAATATGGAAGATAGTTGCGACGTAGGCGGCGTGGTTTTCGGCAAATCAGCTTCCAAAAATTCCCAATGCTTTCAAACACGATGAAACACTTTTTCCTGAATCTGTTGCTTATGCCTGATCTAAAAATTGCCGTAACTTTTTAAATCCTGCTATTTAGCAGAAATGGAAAAGATATTCAGAATTAGCACAAAATTCTGCACAAAATTGGCCTGGTTTTTACTCATAACTCCATGCACACCAAAAAACGTCGCCTTGTTAGCTAATTATCACAAACTGTAGAAGCTAGCAACTTCATAATTGTTTCTGGAGAATAGGCTTTGTAGTTGGCTGTGTAGCATGAATATATAACATTTGGAAATGCCAACTGATCGATACGGGTTGAAAAATTAGTTCGCAACAAATTTCTATACAGCTTTGTAGCGCGATGAAGCACTTTTTCTTGAGTTACCTGTTTTCGTTCTTTTAAGTTTTCCTTGTTCTATAGCTATTAAAATAGCCATAGAACATGAAACTGTCACAATATTTTAAGGATCTATCGGAGAATCCCATAAAATGCTGAATTGGCAATTCAAGGAAACATATTCTCGAAAAATGGTGAAGAAACATTTAATGTTTCGGTTAGGTGAGGCGTTGCCCCGGCATTTGCGCAGACAATAAAAGCAGGATTGGAGGCTAAAATGCCCATAGAATTGAGCAACAGCTTTCGAACGTTGCGTAAAGTGTTAAAACCGCTTTTTAGTGTTTTTCATAGGTAGGTCAAATCCACCAGCGATGCGATCTATTGCAGCATTTGAAAAAAATGATAATTTGCTCGTTTTGAGAAACATATTTTTGAAAATTGGCAACGAAAAATTTTGATGGGTGGGCCGTTTTCCCAGCATTTGCGAGGCCATTCTTGGTCTTGCCGAGATGAGCAAGCTAAATTGCACTTCAAAGTGAGCAACAGCTTTCTAACGTTGAATAAGGGGTTGAAACTGCTTTTGAATGGTTTTCATATGTAGGTAAAATTTTGGGCAGGGATGGACTGAGGAATTTGAAAAAAGTGACAATTGAAAAAGTCAAGCAAAACATATTTCCGAAAAATCGCAAGAAAAATTTTAATGTTTCGTCTATATGTGAAGTTTTTCCGGTAATTGCCCATCCAATTCGATCCAGGCTGGCACAACTACATACATCTAATTGAGCAACAACCGATTATCGAGTTTTCATAAAGAGTTGAAACAAATTTTTTGTGGCGTTTTGTTCCATCATAAAAAAATCACGACCTAAAATGGGGTGTAGAATTTCGGAAAACGCCAGCCTGACGGCTTTTTGAGATCTTCTCTTACAAGCGTTCTGCTTCTCTTTTCGCGATCTGCATGTGTCATTATGAGTTCTTGAAAAGCCAAGCCTGCTTTTAATATAAGCTGAGTCGCATTTTCAAGAAAAATAGATTCGGATCGAGCAACAACGCAACTTTTTTGCTGTGGTAAAGCGCTAAAACATTTGTGTTAATTAATTCTTCTTATTTGGAGACTTCTTAGGAAAACGCGGTTCACTGGTACTTATGGAGTTGAACAATGAAAACGAACTAATGAAATCCTAGCAAGCCCCGAAATCAGTATTTAGCGAAACATATTTTCCAATTTTTCTTTGAGCACGAATTTGATGTTTCTAACGTACTTAGGTATTTTCATGGTGGTTTCTTAGGCAATATGCCCAGGGAATAGTTCGGTTGAAATCATTTTGACAGAATCCTCGCTTGGCCCAATACTTTTCGGAATTTTAATTCTTCTGTTTTTCTAAAGTGGCTTTCCATCTTAATTTTCCTTAGATTGGGTAATTGCGTTTTACAACAACAATAACAACTCTTTTCAAGATCAAATAATATTTCTTCGAAAGTAGCTATATTTTGATGTTTCAGTAAAATCACGGAATAGGCCCTGTTTTGTGCATTCAGTTGGATTCTTTAAACGCCGTTTTTTTCTTAAAGCATATTGAAATGAATAACGACGTGCTTAAAGGTTTTTTAATTCGATGCTAATCTTTCTAAAAATTAGATTATTTTCTGCGAATTCTATTTTCATGTTTCATTAAAGTTACAGGTTTCGACACGGCCAACTTCGTCATTAAGCGTTCCGGTTTTCTACAAATTTTATAGGAATTTTTCATCTTAAAAAAATTCCAATTACCGTACCCTGTTCCTCATCGTAAACAAGTTGCCTAACGACGGCTTCCGTCTGATCGGCGCTCTCCATCCTCAACTCCACTGTCAGCTCATTTTCCTGAGATGTCACCGCGTCCATACGTTTCGTCAGCTCAAGCTGCTGACGCGTAGCAAGGATGTGGGCTTCGTTCTGAAAATGGTTTAATATTTTTTCAATAAATCAAATTAATAAATGCCTTCGGTTTGAACAAATAAATCATTAAATTTTAAAATTTTAAATGCCCTAAAAACGGATGTTTCAACAATCCACCAATTACCCAAAATATCTAGTCAGACTGAATTCGCGTTCTGCGATAATTGCCTAATAATCCTCGTCTATTCTAATCTTCTTATTTTGACTTTAGGAGTAATAAAGCTTATTGACTGCTGCAATTTATTTAAATTGATTTGAGCGCGATATAAAAACAGTTTTCCGACAAAAAACAAAATTTATGTTTCAGCCAGCTATGGCGATCGGGAAATTTTTATAGCCGGAATCCATTTTGCAGCCATTCGTTCCCATTTCGAAAGGTTTTTAAATGCATTGGCAATTAGTAAAGTACAGCCGGTACAGCCGGATAGAAAGAGTGGGCAGAAGGAGAGAGCGCAGACATTTTTCTCTGCGTCTCTCTCCGCTTTCCATACTATCTCGAAACGGCTGTACCGGCCGTACTTTACAAACAGCCAATGCATTAAAATTTTTTGTGAAAAACAAGCATTTTGTTTTATTCCTTGGACCACACAATTTATACTTACAAACGCTTGAAAAAAATTTAAGAAGATTTTCTATTATCTACCTTGCGCAAAATCTTTGTTTCGTCAAAATTAATGTTTCATCGACTTCTAGTTAGCCGACAACTCTACTCTAGAGATTCTGGCGCTTTTTTCAATCTGTCCGTATTTCTCACGTTGTGTTTAGTTTTATCTGCGCTAACGTAACCGGAGAATTGGGCATTTAATATTGGCCTATTGCAGCGAATAAATGTAAAACTGATAAATCGACGGAAAGCAAATCATTTCATTTAAAATATGTATCACATTTCCACCTGGATCAACGACTTCGTGCTAATTTAATCACGTGGTGCCATCAACGAAACAGCTTTAACTATTAAGATAGGTGACTAACGATTCTTCTTGATTCAAAGTTTCTGGCTATAAATTATTAATTTATCAATTTAAAAAGTGGGTCCCAAAAATAAATACGATACTTTCAAGTTGCTAAATTTTTTTCCTCGCAGAAATGAGTGTTTCGACTTATTCGGGTAAAACAAAATTTTTGAAAAGCATAATTGGTAAGCAGCATAACTTCAGAACCCTGAAAATCGAGTCCTGACTACGTGTTTTCAAAAAAACGTTCCTATTTCGTTGCGGAAAATGTTCACATTCAATAAGTTTAAACTGTAAAAAAAACTGTGTACCTGGTGCTCGGGCTGCCGTCTGAACACCAGCTCGACGTCGGGGAGGCGCGGCTCGGGCTCGGGCGTCTGAAATCAAGTACTTGAAAATTTAATTCGCGTGAATTTTAACTTAAGCCAAATTTTGATTCAAAACTATAAATTTATTGATTGTTTGGCTAGCATTTAGAAAACTCAAGAAACAATTTCTACAAATGTGGCCACCTTACCAAAAAAATAAATCATAACCTCGTATTCATAAGAACTGCTCTACTAGATCTCATAAAAATTGCTCAGTTTAGAGGCACCTTCAAACATTTATTTTTAGAAACTTTTGGCCGTATTTTGAAACACTTTTTTAATCAGTCTTGAATATTTTTTATTTGGGCGGTGCGTTAAATATAAGAAATACAACATATATTTTCTACATAGTTCTTTAAATAAAAGGTTGTTATTTAATCAAACAAAAATTTAAAATGAGAGTGCTATCTAAAAATGCAATCTCGTCAAAGGTGCCCAAAATTACTCCAGCTAATTTCCCTTAGGTTTTGAAAATTTTTGAAACTCGATTTTTCTCCGCCTCAAATTTTCAAAATTTTAATTCTGAATAAGCCCACCTTCTCATCATCCTCCTCCTCGTCAATCCGCTTCTCAATCACCGTCTCGAGTATCGCGTCGGAATCTGCCAACTCCGACCTGTCAATATTTTCAAAGTCATCAGCAGCTTCAAGCTGTTGTTGATGAACAGTTTCGATGATTTGTTCCGGGATTTCCTGGGGTTCACGCATTTCGATGGAGGGTTCGGACGGGATTTTCGGCATTTCCGGTTTCTCCGATTTTTCCGGCTGTTGCTCCGGAATTTCCGATTTTTCCGGCCCGTCCGGGCCAGCTCCAGCGCTCAAAACCGGAAGTGCTTCCTGGATAGCTTCTTGAATAAGTTGCTCCAACGACAATTGTTGCTGCTCAATTGGCTGGGGCTTCTGCTCAGTTCTCTGAGCCTCCACGATTCCGTACTCTTTTTCATATTTTTCGTAATTTTCGTTTTCTTCCGGAATCGGGAACGGTATATTCTCAAGCAAATCTTCGAAAAGCTTATCAACGAAGCGCTGCGCGAAATCTTCAATGTCGGGCGTGGGGGCCGGGACGAATTTGGGTTTCTGAAATTATGTACATTATTTAAAGTCATGAAGTTTTTTTAAATTCCTAAATTCCGTTGTTTAAATTAAATAAAACTATCCGCTTTTAATTAACTCAAAAATTCATAATTTTAAAGTAAATGTTTCGTAAAAATTGGTAAAAAGGCAAGAGGAGCTTCTCATTAATGGCTCTGTCTCATAGATTTCACAAACTTAAAATGAGCTACCAAATTAAATCAATTTGTTGGTGTTGTACATTCCAATTACACAAAATAAACGTTAGAACCGCATTTGCTGATCAAAATCTAAAAGAAATAACCAGTCTTATTCAATTGAGATAATCAGTCAATTCAAAAATGAATCGATTTTAATGAAATGTTTCGTGAAAAATCCGTCAACTTTCCATTGCCGATTAGGCAGCTACATTCATCAATTACTATTTTAAGTACGTAAGCGGTTTTTAAAATAACGTAAAAGCATTGTAAAAATACGCATTAACACGGGAGGGATTAACAGTATTTTTCTGGCCGCAGCCTTTACATTTTTTGAAACACGGATTTTTTTCATGACTTTCTTGGTATTGACTAATTTGCCTATTACCTCAAATTATCTATCACTTTTTGGAAACATAATTTTTCTTTTCTTTTAGAAAAATAACGATATTTCATGTCTTCCATCTCGATTAAACGCACCGGCTTCGCCTCAACTTTCTTGGCTTCAACGGCTTCGGTTTCGACTTCGAAAACTTCGGCCAGGATTCCCTCCTCGGGGGCTGGGAATCGGAAGAGCAGGTCGACTATCGCGTCGGCCACGCGCTCTGCTGCTGCCTGCAGGGCGCGAGAATCCTGGAAAAATCATCGTTCTCTCTCTCTCTCTCTCCCTCGCTCTCTTTCACTCGCTCTCTCATACACTCTCTCGCTATTTGGAATAACAAAATCTATCTTTCATCTAAAATATGTTTCAGTAATAAATCAAACGACACCAGGTTCGAATCAGCTAATGAAATTTGTTTAAAGCTCATCTAAAAATAATTTTTATTAGGTTTTGAATAAAAATTTTCAGGCAAAATACTGATGGAATATACCAAATTTTTGGAGTACCTTGAAAAACGCCGAATTCTTGCAGCTTATTGACTAAAAGTTTTTTATTTGTTTGTTGCGCCCTTGGACTTTATATTCCTTTCAATAAGTTTAAAATTTCTCTCTCGCTCGGTATTTAAATTCAAAAAAATTTATATTTCCTCTAAATATTTTTCAGTAATGAACTGTAATAGTTCAGACCCGAACAAGGCAACTTCGAGCCGGCTACAGCAAGATAAAAAACTTTTGGTCGGTTTAGGATAAAAACTCAGGAAAAATAATAATTGGCCAGTCGCCGTCTTCGAGAATGAGATAAAAATGTCAATTTCATACATTTTTTTGATTTTTTTCTGGAAATAGCCCCTTTTATTTTTAAAATAAAACCTTTGATAAAAATAATCTTTGCAAAAATTCATAAAAACTCATGAAAATAAAAGGATCAATGAAAGGATCCGTACGAGCTCATGTATTTCTAGAAGTTTTTAGTAAATTTTGTTAGGTAAGTTTTAAAAACTCTGATTTTTCTGCTTGTGGATTAACAGGTTCAGATTTTTTGATGCGGTTCTACATTTCTTTAAATTAATTTTTTAAATCTCAGCGTAATCATTTTAAAGGCCCGTTGAATCGAAAAATCACTCACCTCCTCATCGATCTTTTCCGTGTTTGTCGCATCCACAGATTCGCTCGGAGCCTCAGTTGCGAGTCCAGTGTCGGTGGTCGTCTAAATATTTTGCATTATTCCATATGATAATTGAATTCATTTGATTTTGTTTTGACTGCTCTAAATCATTTTGCCCATTATCACCAGTGTTGAAATTCTCGCTAAAACGACCGCGCGGTTGATTCCTTTTCTTGAAACATACAAATCCATAAAATCATCTCTACTTTTCGGCATTGCAATTACGTTGTTTTAAAAACCTAAAAGTGTTTCAGAATCGTGATTACCAATATTAGGATAAGATTATTATTTCAAGTATTATGCCAATTTAGTGGGGGTAAATCAATGGCGCAGTTCGTCAAAAACGTCAATTAATTCGTTACCCAATTGCCCGAGCAACATTGTAGTCGAAACATTTTTTATATTTTTAAGATTTTTATAAACAAATTTGCATGCGTTAAGGAGCTTGTTTAGACTACATTGCTGGCAATTCAAGTAAAACAATTTACGCTAATTTACCTGAATGATTTGTTTTACTTCTAATAGATCATTTTTAAATTTTCGCTATTTTTTATTTAAAATAAAACTGGCTAAAATAATTTTGAGACTTAAAACGCTGGCTTATCTACGCTTTAGGTAAGACTCCAGATATCCCCCCTAGCCGGCCCCCAACTTTTGTATATCGGCTCCCTGTTCATCTACAGGTGTGTAAAGTAGACCAAAATAATCGCCAGAGCAAGACGAACATTTTGGTATACTTTACACACCCGTAGATTAACAGAGAGCCGAGATACAAAAGTTGGGGGGGGGGGTATCTGGAGTTCAGCCGCACTTTTAATTCATGCAGAATCCAAATATTGAATTTTCCGAGATGTACCTGGGCTACCGTAACGGGCGTCTCTTCGGTGTGTGGCGTAGTGGAGATGTCCATCGTGATTCCAGTGTCCGGGGACGTGATGTCGGCTCGCAGAATTACTGCCTCTTCTGCGGCCGCTTCCACCTGAAAATAGAAACATACATTTAATGCCGGTGACCTGATCTGGGCGTCTTTCTTTTTTCAAAAAAGTTGTTGCTTATTTGTTTTTATAAGTCGTAAACGTAATATAGTAATAGCGCAAATTTATAGCTGCTTATTTCTTTGCTGGCGTACGGGTTATCGGGTTACTTCAAATTTAATGAAAGGAAGGAAGGAGGAATTAAACGTTGCTATCACCAATCGACACCAACTTTTGTCGAAACATTATTCTTTTTCGAAATTTTTTGGAGTAGACTGCCATAGATGTTAAAGACTACCAGAACGATGGAACGCACTGTCACCCCGAGGGTGCGCCCCCAAGGCGCAGAGAGGGTCGTCATTAGTGGTGTCCCGTATTGGGCAAAGACCCTCTGGGGTTTGGGGCACCTCTGACTCCCTTCCCACTTGGCCCTGTGGTATAGTGGCTAGCGCGTCGGACTGTGGAGCGAACCATCGCGGGTTCTGTCCCCGCCCGTGCGCAGCTTTCTTGCTTTCGAAGGAATTTCATCGTTCTGACGGTCTTTAAGCCTGAACCGCCCTTTTTAAAAAACGCTTTGTCACAATTCTTGAAAAACAGAGAAAAATTAGGACAAAAGTGAGAAAATTGAGTTAGTTAACCAGCATCAATCCACTGACGCTTCATCTCGATCCACGGTGTTGGATTTCAGCGAAACAGATTTTTTTTCACGAAATTTTTTGCTGTTTTTTTCTATCACTTATCCACTAATTCTGTTGCATTTTGAATCGCTACGGTACTTCACATGATGACCGGTGATTGCACCTATTTTCTGAACAATTACCATCAGGCTAATTTGAAACATAATTATTTTCGGGAACTTCTGTAGGTTACCAGCGTATATAGGCTTAGAGTACTTTGTCTAAACTATACCTTTAACATTTTATAACAATTTAATCAAAGCCATAGTTAATTATATTCATTCAATTTTATAGAAATTAAGATTGGTTGAAACAAAACAATAAATTTCGTTGACAAGTAACACCAAAATTTTTTGAAGCATCATTCTTTTTCGAGTTTTTTTTTGGAAAACTTCCTGCAGTTTATGCCTGCACTGCTTGTTTAAAGAAATTTCCGCAAAATTTCGAAAAAATTTTAGTAAAGCAAAAATAAAATAAATAAATAAATTGGCGAAGGCAAATAGCTTTTTTAAAATGTGTTTTTTCACCTCCTTTTTAAAGACTAACCTGTCGAACTTCAGCAATACCGTGAACACTGTCATGCCCTGGGCCTGAGGACGTCAATCGGCGGAGCCAAAGCTCGGAATCAGCTTTTCTCCGCGCCCCCCGCCTCGGCCCTCCGAATAACCGGGACCTTTGGCCTCGGCGGCGTGCTCAGCCGAATGATTCAAGTATCTGTGACTCCAAAACAACTATTTTGAGCCATGAGCGCGTAATTCCCAGAGAGAGAGAGAGAGAGCGAGAGAGCGAGAGAATGAGAAAGAGTGAGAGGAAGGGAGCGAGTGAGAGAGAGCGTGCCTGAGTAAGTGAGACAGCGAGAGAGAGAGAGAGAGAGAGAGAGAGAGAAAGAGAGAGAGAGAGAGAGGGTGATAGAGTGAGTGACAATGGCGTCCACGTTGCGTATCAAGATCTGTAGGAATATGCCTTGCCCGGCCCTTTAGAATATATTCTGCATACGTCGACCCCTCGCGCACTGGAAAACCGTGGCTCACGCGCACCACACGAATCGTTGTAACATCGATTCTATAGCGCACAAATATTTTTTTATTCTCCAAGACCCAAACTAAACTATTTTCGGAATTTTTTTGACAAACATTTAAAAGTCTGTATACGAAATAATGCGAGGGACCCATGAGAGAATTTTTATCGCCCCAAACAGTTTTTTCTCAAAATTCGAATTGCTAATTGCGACGATTAGGCAAACGACAATGTGAGCTATAATATTCGAGATTCGGCGACCATATAACTACAGAAATTTGAAACATTTTTTCGAAAAAACTTTAGGTTTTTTTGCGTAGAGTTGGAAGCAACATGCGAATCCACGATTTTTTAAAGCAGACTTGAGGCAAATTTGAGGTTTTTATTAGGTGTCACTCCCCCTTTAAAACGCCTGCCTGTCTGACTTCGGCCATTCCCTGCACCTCGTCACTTTGCGGGGCCATGCGTAGCGAAATCTCGAACTCGGCCTCATCCTCGCGAATCGACTGCGTGATCACCTCCTCGGCGTCTGAAGGCAATATATGTTTTAATCGAGCTTTTGATTCAGTAAAGATGAAAAAAAAACAATACATACTCTTTTGGAACCTATTAAAAAAATCAATATTTTTGCTTTATATAATTTTTAATTTTTTCAAAAATTTCCCCAGGAAATATCGGAATAGATATGTATCTTTTAGGCGGTAGGGCATTTAGTAAACTCGCCATCGCCCAGGGGCCTAGACCCATTATTATATGGAAATAATGGGTTACAAAGTGGTAAACGTTAATTTTAAGACATTTTTCAAAAAAATGTTTCGTAAGGCAATAGGCGAAACACGTCAAAAACACCAGCAATGACTTGGTTCAAGCGGCGGATTGTTTTGTGTTTTAGAGTAGTTTAAATTAGTGAAATTGCTTATCTATGTTTTAATATGATCTTGGATACACCTAGTAATTTTTGACTTACCAACGACCACGATCCGTGTAACTGGGGTGTAAATCGCGTCGATTAATACACCATATTCCCCCTCATCTTCTGGCGATACGCAGAGAATCGTAAGGGCGTGACCACGCCCATCGGACGAATCCTCGATTGCGTGCTTTTTTGGCGCGTCTTTGGCAGGTTCGGCGAGTGGGTGACGGTTCTACAAATTATAATCAGAACATTTTCCGTTAGAGCTCCTATTAAATACCACCAAAGCTCCTGTGGCAAGGAATTTTTTCGCAACATTCTTTTGAATTTTTTTAGATCTTGCCTCCCGGAAGCCTTTTATTCAAATCGAATTTGATATTAGATACCGAGATCATCAAAGAAAAAGACAATAAATTCATTTCTCACACGCATTAGTTGTTTAGCAATTACGGTCTAAATAAAGACAACCCATTACAGAGTATCAGCCGCACCCAACCATTAACATTTTTGAAACATGGTTTTTTCCAATTCGAAAAGTAGAATTTTTATTACTGCCACAAGATGCTTAAAAAGTATCGACGGCGCGCAACTCTAAACCTATTCGAAAAATATTTTTCTAAAACTTTTAGGCCTTTCTGATCCACGTAAGCTGTATTTTTGCAAATGAAGGATGAGTGTACTATGTAAAGAAAGGCGCTCATCCACCTTAGAACTTACTGAAACTCGGTATTTTCCATTCGTTTTTTACTGAAAAATTGTATAAAAGGCTTCCGTAAATGCTTTAATGCGAATTGATCGCCACTTTAGAGCCGAGGATTATCTGGCGTAAACTTTCCTTAATACCAAAATAATGTGAACCCTTCATTTCTAAACTATTTCTTGCAATGAGGATGAATACATGAATACGCTATTAAATTCACAAAATGTTCCGCCGAAAATCCAAACGGATTTCGTATCGTCTAAAATTTAAATGTTCCAAAAAAGTTCCGAGTTCGGAAGCAGTTTCGTTTCTTAATGGGCATGTGAAACATTCATTACAACATGCAGAATTTCATCTAAAAAAATCCGGTTTTTAAAATGGGTCCATTAGTTCCTTTTGGGAGTACTACGTTTTCCCCCATTTACGCGGAGATTCGTAGCAAAAGAGACTGTTTTCCTTCTGTAGGAGATTGCAAATTTAATTTTGATGTATGGATTTTAATATTTACCTAGATTTTTTCAACCGATTATGACTTTATTCCGTATTCAATAAGTTCAATCCAGATGTGGTTTTAAGGCTTACAGTATAAAATTCGCGACAAATCGGCCTAGCTGGATAAAAATTTCGCTGGTGAAATTGTAGTGTTTCAAATAAATTCCATGTTATAATCTTTTTTTAGCGTTTCAGTGGACCGTACTAGACCAATCGAAATTATTTTTCAAGATTTTAATACACATTCAGATTTATTAAACAAATTATGACCTAAAACTCACATAGGTCCAGACGACGTCACGACGCTCATCCAGCGTCTCGCAGTTGATCGTAGCGACGGCCCCGGCAGGTACGGGCGTCTCCTCCACCCTCACGTCGTCTTCGCCTAATTTTTTTGGTTTTTTTTTGGTTATTGGGCCGATTACGGTCTTTTTTAAGGAAAATATCTCGAGATTTTGCTATAATTTTCCATCCATTTAGCTATTAAGTTTTTATAATTTTAGCATTTCCCCTATGTTACTTTTGACTGACACAACTCCCTTAAAATTATTTAGATTTTGTTGAGATTTGATTTTATGAAAGGTTTGGTTACTTTGAGGTTTCTACCCTTTATTAATTTATTAAATTATGCTGATTTACCGTATTATCATTTTTTTACTTAACCCTAGTTTTTAATAAGATACCCTTGTATTTAATTTAATTAGATTTAATTTAAATTTTAATGATTTGCTTTCAGTTTTGGCAAGCTTTGGGTTTGCTAGAACAGCTGCTCTGTAGATTAAAAAAACAATAATCGACCTATAGTGCTGAAGAATCGATACATTCATTTTCTAGCTAGCAATTTTTTTTGTGAAGCCGAATCGTCGAATTTTTAATCCATTTTCCTTATTAACGAATTATTAGGGCAACGAAAGAATTAAATGTTGTAAAATTAGCTCATAACAATTTTTTTATTTTTTGGGTTCACGACCTATTTGTTTAGTAAAATTGTTTTTATTCAAATGCATTACAACGTACCATTATTGTTTCTAAGTTCGACACGGTATTATCATGATTCGAAACATTGAATTTCTCCGTTTTTTGTTGTTTAAAAAGCTCATAACCTGGGGCAGATACTTTTTACACTAATATTTTAGCGATTTTCTGCAGTAAACAAGCTTTACTCAGGTCCTCGCCACCCAAAATCCGGTTGTATTCCACCTGGCTTTGGGGTGGGCCGCATGAAACCCCGCTTTTCGGGGGAGGCACAGGATCGCGGAAACACGGCGCAACGCGTGCCGCACGCGACCGCCACGGGGAATCCGGGGGAACGGCCGGGCGGGTCGGGTCGATTCAACTGTTTACCCACCCCCCCACCGGTCGATTTCCCGAATCCACCCGCAATCCGGTCGATTTCCACGTGGAATCCGGTCGCGTCCGCTACCGGAATCCGATCGATTCCGCAAGCAGATGCCGACTGGATTCGGGGGACCCGGACCTGGAGGAGTTTTGCGAGGCCCGAGCCCATAAAGTTTGTGTAACATGTGTTCGTAATTATGAAAATATGTTTTATCAACATCGCTGGAGCGTCGCTTTTTTTGGCAGCCTATTCCCAGCTTCGCCTCTATCCTGACAATGACCCGCCAATTTATCGCGTGGTATTTTTGGCTACTGGTTCTAGCTAACGCGAGTGGAAAATTAATGGGTACGCTATGATACCGGCTCTATAGGGACCGGACCCTCTCGTAATAAGTATTTTTAGCCACAGAAATAGCGGCGGCGCACCGCACCATGCCGTCAAAAATATTTTTATCTTAGATATTTTAATTTTACATAGCTAAATACCAAACAATTTCTTCCTCAAAAACTCGAGAGATAGTTTCCTAAATGTTTTAAATGAAAATTGTTTTATCATATGTGTTTTTTTTGGTATATTATTTTACCTTATTTTCAAATTATTGCGATGTAGTTTTTTTTATAAGCAAATAAATATTGTTGAGCATAAGCCCCGACCTAGTTTTGCAAAATTTAAAAATGGTGCTGGTTTCCAATAAATTTTCCCTGGTGCACAACACGCGACGCGATTTACTTTCAGCTGCGTTGCGTGTCGCGGGCCCGGAAAAATAAATATGGAATTCATCACCGATAAAATCTATACGCACGGCAGCTAGACCCGAGAAAAAAAAACGTGTTTTATTAAAAGCCCTAATTCCAGCCGGTATCAGTTTGATAATTTGAACATTACCTAGGTCTCTTATTTATTTGGAGACTTTTCCCACTTCTTATTTTTGCATTTTTTGTATCTATTTTGTGTATTTTAAGTTTTTACACGATTTTTGTCGGAGCAATAATTTATTGTAGGTAGTCATGAAATAAAAACCGTCGTCGCAAGCAAATGTGTTTCGTGTGTGTATGATACAAAGACAAGCAGATCGTTTCGTAATTCGCTGTTTCCTGTGTCGCAACCAGCCAAATCGCGAGATAGGAAGGGTAATCGAGAGGAGCAGGGAAAAAACAGCAACAGAATAAATATGAACTTTAAAGGACCGAAGAAGGATGAGAAATATTTTAATTTTTTTTCGAAAATTTTCCCGACGCACCAATGATCACTGCTAAACTGCCTGGACTAGATTGTTTTACTTTACGTCCAGTATGATCTGGAGAAGATGGGGCATCAGGAGATCGAAAAGACACCTTTTCCTTCTCACTTTTCCCTGCTCTAGCTCCGAAGCTCCGATCGGAGGCAAGTCAGGTGAAAACAGAGCACGCGTTAGAGCCTGAGGTCTAGGATCTAGGTGTGACGCACCATGTCGCGATGCACCGTGCACCATGCCGTGACACACCAGGCCTCGGTCGGTACCTCAAGGTGCCGGGTCGACACACCGTAGCCGGAGGCACCGCGTACATCCATCGATCGTTCCTACCAACGGCAGATGGTAGGAACAATGGATGGATGTACCGCGCTGATCGAACCGTTACACTTAGGGTATGCACCTCTAGATACAACACCGTACGATGCCATGCCAAGACGTACCAAGCACCTACGTATCAAGTACGTCCGGGGAACGATACCCAGAGATACCGTATCTAAGGACCAACGCCAAAGATCGTTAGCTACTATGTTCGACGCCGAAGCTCGATAGGCCTAGGTACCGTACATCGGGGAACGCAACGAAGACCTGCCGTAGCGCGCCACCCTGAGGTACGACGTATGACCACAGGGACGATACATCAGGGCATCGTACGGGGAGGTTCGCGACTCATAGGCACATTAGCTCAAGGGGCGCATGCTAAGGTAGCGGACCTGGTGGAACGATAAATCTAGGTGCCCTCAGGGCCAATTGCGGTGCATCCGGGCCGCGTGCAAAACCTGGTTGCTCTGGATGACGGTGCACCGAGATTCTGGACCTCCTTAAGCGGCACCAACCAGGTGCAGCGCCTCGAAAAACCTAACGACGGGGGATTGCACCTGGAGGAAAGATGCGCCGAAGCATCCTAATTCCAGGGACAACACCAGGTGTGGTGTACCGCGTGATGGACACGAGACCGGATAAGGTCAGGTTTCCCGCACCTCGCGGTCTTCCAATTCTACACCGAGTCGCACGTTGCGAAACGATGTATCGCCTTTTGCTGGCTTGGAAAACGGTTGAGATGTTGTAGTGAACGTCCGTGCTAGTACAGTGTCATACCGCCAGGAACGCTGGATTGAGGTAGCGTCCCCGGCGTAACGATTCCTTGCAGTGAGGGGTCTCAAGCATTGATGTCTGAGGTGCCATACCAGGTTTCCGAAATTGCTAAAGCGTTTCGGCTGGCCTGCCCAGGACCTGGGAGACTGTACCGACGCACCATGTCGATACCGGTTGGTCCTAAAGACAGGTGCGTCAGTATGTTATACTTTTTCCAGGTCGCCCGTTTCTGACCGGCTTCCTAAAGGGTTTCTGCTAGCCTCCCTGCTTTTTGGAGCAAAGAAAACCTGACAGGTGGATTGCGCAAGACGATTTTCTCGCTACTTGGTGCGTCGGGCCAAATTTTCCCATTTTTTAAAACAAAAACCTTCATCCTTCTAGGGTCCTTTAAAGAGAAGACTGGAATAAAAAATCAACAACAAAATCAATAATAAAATAAATAAAGCAACAAGTTTCGGATTTTTTGATGAGTGTTTTGAAGTTTTGATTGTCAGAGAAATGTTTCGGAATGGAGAGGGTAGAGGGTAGGAGAGGGTTTTGATAATCGATTGCGAAATTTGTCGTGGGAAATATAGATTTAAAATCGGGCCCATGCACATGCACATGCAACATTTTTGGGGGGATACAGAGAAATATATAGTTATGGGGAGCACATATATAGAGAAACAGAGAAAGTGATAACTTTGTTCCGTCAAGACGCAATAGGTGTAAAAATAATTAATGATTTTTTAAGAAAAGTTGAAACATTAAAGTTTCAAATTTTGGGCAGATCTGCTGACGAAATCCACGCAGGTGGCAAAATTCCTAGTTTGAAACCACCATTTTGAAAAAAACGTTTTACAAAAAAGACAAATTAGAAAGAAATGCCGATATTGTTGAATCCTAGTCTCTTTGAAAAATTCGCAAGGAAAAGATGTCGGTCTACTGGCCAAAATAGAGTTTTCGTCGCTATTTAGAATGATAAAAAAATGAAACACAAATTTTTACAAAAAACCCAAAGCAAAAACTGTGATAAATTAGCCCTTTTAAATTAATTTAACAATTTAATTAATTGAACAGCTAAAATTAATTTAGTATTGATTTAAAAAGATGCCTGGGATGCATAGTGGCCAAACTTATTTTTTCGGATATTTCTCCAAAAATGAAACATGAAGTTTTCAAAAAAATCCGAAATTTTAAAATGTTTAGCTCAGCGACGTATTGGAAATGCGTTTGCGGCGCAAATTGGTGTGTGTGGTGGCCATGTCGGAGACGGCCAGATGGGCCACCTTGAACTCGAGGCCGTGGATGGCCACCGAGTACAGGCCCGAGTCGGGCGGCTCCGTGTCGTGGATGACCAGGTAGTGCTTGCAGCCGTTGATCACGTGTTCCACCTGAAAAAGTATTGTTAAAGAGGTTGGGACAGTAAAAAATTCAGTTTTCCATTTTTGTAGGGACTAGAAAGCAACTTGCGAGAACTACCTATTATAACAACCGAAAATTGGAAAAAAGCACTAAATCCTTGAAACACGTTTTCGGAAACTCTCGGCGAAATTTCCAACCAAGTTCACAAAATTTGATAAAAAATGTTGCAAGTGCTTTAGTGAACGTTGACAATGCTTATCAATTTAATTTTACCGTCGAGCATGCTCTTGATTTTTCCATTAAAGGGTTAAAAGGTTTTATTAAAGGGGTAGGGACAGTAAAACAAGAGTTCTATCTATTTTTAAAAGGACTTTGAAGGAAATTGGTCACTCCACGGCCTAGAACAGGCACCGCGCCGCGCGCGGGCGATTTGGAATTTAATTTTTTCCCGTGTTGCTAGATATTTGGGCCTCGAAAAAGCTTGACTAAAGACGACAACACACAGGTCTGAATTACGCGTATTTTCCCGCGATGGAATCCGCAAATTTTGGAAACAACTTTTCGCATTCCATTTTTCGAAGAACTTTCCGCTTTAAAATTTAAATAATTGTGGTAATGCGAAGAAGAATAACGTGGTTAGACATAGAACGTTCTTTCAATTTAAAATTTTTAAAGGCACCGATTTTAAAGCGTTTGAACGTCGAAGTGTATTTTTTTGGAATCCGCTGAAGTTTTGCGCATTCCAGGAAATCCAAAGTCCCGAGAGCCTCAACTCAACGAAACTGTGGGCTCCTACTAAAGTTGAAAAAGCTTTTAAAAATGTTGCAAAGCAAGTGCTGGGAAACTCGGAAATTCTAACTTAACGTCTGTAACGCCGCGAAAATTTTTCGCGCCTGGAACCGAATTACTGGCTGGCGGCAAAAAGTGAAATTATTTTTAATTTTAATCGAACTTTAGTCACGCCTTTTTTCTTGCTTTTTTCTTTTCCCTGTCTTTAATCTTTAGAACCCGTATTTTGTGAAATTGCTCACGAATTCCAAAAAAAAATTGAGAAAAAATGTTACAAACTAGGTTATGGCAAATTGCTGAAACGAATCCTCAATCTCTGCGTCTCAATGTTGATTATGCCATATTTTTTTCGACCGGTAGGGTTACTGTGACCCAAATACTGACCTTTAGCCAGCCTTTTTTGTATTTTTCGAGGTAACCCGATGACCACAGCCTGATTTTAACAAATTATATTAACTTCAACGCTTCGAAATGGCTGAATACTTGAAACACACTCACACACACACAAACAACCAGACCTCGAAATTATTAGTCCCAAAAATTTCATAAAAAAATGTTGTAAATTAGCGCCTGACTAACTTTACAAACGTATTCTCAACGTCTCCTTTTGCGGATTTTTGATTTTCCGATTTAACTCTAGGATTATAACCAAAATTGAGCTTTTTGCCCAAAAATCCAGCGCTTCAGGCAATTCCCACACATCTGAATGATGATAACCTCAAAGCTGTGAAATTACTAAATCCTTGAAACACGCTTTCTCAGCCAGGTCTGGAAATGGCTACAAATGAAGAAAATTTGATGAAAAAATGTTACACATTTGGCTCTCGCGAACTGGGAAAACGTGGTCCAATGACATTTTTGCGAACGTTGTTAATTTTTGTTCTGCCGCTAAATTTCCCGTCACCCACTGTAACAGCGACCAAAAAAACAGGTTTCAACATTTTCCCTAGAAAAAAGTTTTTTCCGATGAATCATTATCAATTCGCTACTCAGTGTACCTTTGCCTCATCTCCAAATTCTATCCGCCTCTCGTCTTTGATCCAGATGAGCTGGCGCTCCTCCTCAGATTCCTCCAGCTCACAGGCTATCGTAGCCGTGGATCCGGGCGGGACCAAATACTCCCGCATTTCTTCTTCTTGCTCCGATTCCGTTCCGGAAGCGATTACCGTAACCTCACGCTCGTCGATTCTTTCTGAAAAGCAGATTTCAAGGTGCCAGAAATTTCTTAAAGAATCTCTGCTAGCCTGCCCTCCTCCAGGAACCCGTCCATTTCCTCGAACAATCTCTGCTAGCTTGCCCCGCCGATTCCTCAAAGAATCTCTGCTAGCCTGCCCCAAATTTCTCAAAGAATCTCTGCTCGCCTACCTTCTACCACAAGGGTAATCGCCGTGAAGCGATCGCCGAGGTATGCGTAGTATGTTCCTTGATCTGCCGTGGTGGTATGGGCAAATATCGCCTTTTTATACCCATCGATCGTCTCGATGAAGTGTATCCGTCCGTCCTCCTTAAATGGTTTGTTTTAAGGTATAAATACACTATTTTGAAGTTATGTGAACTAACGCCCAAGCCGCAAAACGCCCATTAACAGAGCGTAATCGATTACGCCATGAAAAATAGAGCGCGTGCGTTGCTTGTTGCATGGCGGAAAAATGGGGGTATCGAGCAAGGCCGTAATTTTCCTAGCGTCGAAATTTGATAATGTCGAAATTTACACGGAAAAACGTTAATAGCTATGTAAAAAATTCGATATGTTCAAATTTCGGCATCCTGAAATATCCACATTATTAATTTCGACCGTAAAATAGCCATAGAAATCCCAGCAAACCTATTAAAAATATTTGCTAAGAAACTTTTAAAGGAAATTTGGTCAAATCTGGTGCTGGAAATAACGCAACCCCCGTTGCCGACCCAAGGAAATGTTTTGAAACTGAATTTTTTTAAACATCTAAGCCAAATATGTATAAGCGAATAAATTGCATACGTCATTCTTGCTAGGGTATTCACACAACCGTATACAGAAAATAAGCATAACCTCCTTTACCTGTCATAGGAAATGTTTTGAAACTAATTTTTCTAATAGTAGACTCGGGAAGCCCGAAAAAAATGTTTCAAGAAAGGCACTAGAAAACGGTTTAAGCTCGATGGTAATACGTCGAGACAGACTACCAGCTAGGCATTGAATCTAATCTAAGGCCTTAAGAAAAGGAACTCATGAAATCGGTGCGCAGGCGGTGCGAGGCATGCAAACCAATGGTTTTAACCCGCGACAGGCAACGCGCCCGCCACCTGGTTTTCAAATAAGATGGGGTGATCGATTGCGCAATAGAAATGGGGGCGTGCGCGTTGCGTATCGTGACGCGTCACCCTTAGTATCGATTTTCCGCGACATGCAACGTGCACGCCCGTTTTTCGACACTATGAGATCGGAAACCATTACCCAATGGAAATTAAAGCTTGTGCGCTGCGTGTCGCGTCGAGGCAAATGAAAATCATAATGACTTCATTTTTCTTTCAGTCTTGTCCCAATTTATTAATTCTTTGGCGATTTTTTTTCGCGCCGCGACACGCAACGCGAACGCTGATCGGCCGCCGCGAACGTTTCGGAATCGATTATGCTATGGAAATTGGGGCGTGCGCGGTGTGTTCCGGAAAAAATTATGGCGGCTTCATTTTTTCAAATTGGATTGTTTTAATTTTGATTTTTCTAATTACGCCATAGAAAGCAGGCAAGCGCTTTGCGTGTCGCGGTGCGAAAAAAATAAGCTAATCCATACCTTTAACGGCTTCCTCTCCTTCATCCAGATGATTTTCTGATTTGCATCTGAGATCTGGACACTTAACACCGCCGGCTGCCCATCCATCACAAATAGCGTTTGAGCCGGGGATAGGAAAGAAGCGGAATTTTCGGTCTCGGCCGTCGAGTCCTCGCCAGAGCCCGGCTCTTCGACGACAAGATACGCCACCGGAAACGCCTCGTCGTTGACAACAAGGCTGTACATGTCCGAGTCCTCGAGCTTCACCTGAAAATTTTTTTGACAAAGTTTTTGGAATTAGTGGAATTATAATGTTTCACTCAAAACACTTCAAAACTTGGGCAAAAAAATTTTGATTTGATATAACACTAATTTTTACGATTTTAACGTCGGAATTAGGGGTACGTTTGACAAGAGGAATCAAACAAAAATATTAGTCGCAGAAATTATTTTTTGAAAAAACATATTTTTTAAATCACGAATTTTCCAGTTGTTTTTTGGTTGCGTTTTAAATCTTCCATGCTTTGTTTTTAATTATTTTATTGAACAACGAAACTGTCATTGAAGAATACTTCGAAACATTTTTATACTCCGGGCTACGACCTTCAATTAGCTCGATCAAAGACAGCGTTTTCTTTTTTCTTCTTTAATATTTTATTCAAACTACCAGCGAGAGTGCTATTGTGAAATTTTCCAAGGCAAGTTAAAGATATTCGATATCCGAGAGATTGATTCGTTCGATCGATTAAAATCGTGCACAATTCTATCACCCTGTCCGGAAAAAACATGTTTTTCGAAAATCACCGAATTCAGTCGCTATTTGTCCTTAAATTTTTTATCTTTAAAAATATTAAAAATCATTTTCTTCGATTAACGACGAATTCCGCGACATTTAGGCGATATACAAGGAATTATTAAAGGGGTAGAAGCTAACGTAATATGCTTTTTTTTTCGAAAACACATTTTTTCCAAAATTAATGAACTTTTTTGAATCTATTGGTCAATTTCGATATTCAATAAATTACATATAAATGCTGTATAAAATATATATAAAAAAAAAAAAAAAAAAAAAATAAAAAAAATTAATGTAATAAAATACCTGCGAAATGACGAGGACTTCGAGCAGATCGTGCGAAATCCTATCGACTTTTCCGGGGCATCGCTCTACCGTATCCCTTCCCTTCATCCATTCGATTTTCGAGTTGGACGGTAGGTAATTGTTTAATTCGCAAGTGATCGTAGCAGTACTGCCCAGTCGAATAACGTAGGAAGGTATATTCAGGCTTAACGCCGACGATTCCGTTTTTTCCTCATCCACCGAGCATTTCGAGCTGCGGAACGAGTCCTGGCTCTTCAGCTTCTTCTTCTGCTCGGCGTCGTTCGACTCGGAGACGGTCACGTTGAACTGAAACATTTTTTGTTCGAAATTATCTATTTTCGTCTATTATTTCTTTTATTGTGAAGAGGATACACGATTTAAACTATGACTTTTGCTTTACTTAACTTTTTAAATTGTTTTTTTAACTATAGAAATTTTCTATCGTGTCCCTAAAAAACCGTGTTTCAAAAATATCGATGCTAAAGTTATATTTCGCCTGTCACTCCGGTTCAAGTTCGCTAAATCAAATCAAAATAAATTATTTTTGGACTGGAGAAAGATAAATTTGGATAAATTATTTTATTTTTAATTTTTAGTACGATTAAAAATTGGAGGTTTTGTGATAATGTCAAGTCAGTAATGTCATTGATAAGTCGAAAAATGTCAAGAACAAGAAAATCGGCCCAAATCGTGTTTATTTCGAAATTGATGTTTCAAAAATTTGCAAAGGGAGGGCGAGCAGGTATGCTATAATTATATGCAGTATATGTTTCGAATTTTCTAGCTTTTTGGTTCAAAATTGATGATTCTAGTTGAAACTTTACCTAGCTTATTTATATTCCTTTTAGACTTTGAAAGTGATTTAGGTATTTAAGAAAATGCCCTAAATACAAGATATTTTATTTTTTAACTTGTTCAATTCATATTTATAAATTTTAGTAATTAAATAACTTCATTTTAAACCTTAAATTGAACTAGCTAGATTGCGATTATTTATAGTTAAATGACTAGATTATTAACGATTTTATTTAGTTACGTACCTGTACACTGGACATTTTCGAGTCCGAGTCCATACTCCTGACCATGGCGTGTTCGGCGTACGGTAGCGTCATCTCCACCTCACCCCACGGAATCTCCTCCAACGCCGCGTCCACCATATCGTGCATGCTTCTCGCGATAATCGATACCGTTACCCCGGCGGTTTCGGGGAGATCAGTGTAGTCATCCTCATCATCGTCAGACAAATCTCGAATCTCCTCGAAATCGTCGAAACTCGACGTCTCCGTGAAGTCGTCGAGATTTTGGCGGAGGGATGGGGCTCTAAAATTGGCATTTAAAAATTAAAAAGTAATTATCACGTCCAGTTAAAAAAATAAGTTTCATACATCCTTAAAATACAAAAAATTTGGGCGTCCAGATTCCTTGGTCTTCGTATCGTTTTGCCTATACATCCACCGTTTTTGAAAATGTCACCTTTTTAAAAATCTTGTTTGAAAAATAAGTTTCATAGTTTTTCTAATTCATCGTTTTTCCCAGAATGGAATTTGTTTTTGCCTCCTACATCTGAAATTTGCAATTTTCAATTTTTATTAGGTTGGAACTAAAGTTCGCGCAATATTTTTCTTTCTTTGTAATTTTCGGACCGGAAAACGGGCAGGAACCAAAATGTTTTTTGGATGACCGGATATGGAATAAAATTCTCTATTCGATGTGTGGGACGGAATCGCGTTGCTTCCCTATTAGATTTTTTAAAGCTAGATTTAAACGAAAATGAAAAATCGCTTCGGCCCGCCTTTACAAAACAAATTTGGCTTCATTTTTAGGCTAATTCGGCATGTAGCCAGTAGATACAACTTATTATCATATTGATGATCAGTTCCTATGGTGACTTAATGGCGGTTCGGAAACATGTCCGGGTCAAAATTCTGAAGTGCCCTGAGAGAAACGCAAAAATCTTCAAAACTACTAAGCTAAACCTGTAATTTTGGTCCCACATACTCATGAACCCAATAGATAAATGCAAAGAGGAAACATCGGAATCTGGCCACTAAATCTTCAGAAAGAAATTTCCAAAGTTCGATTGCGCGAACTTATGTTCCAACCTAATATAACGCTAGCTGCTTTCTAATAACTGATATTTTTCCATTAATTTTTAGATGTTTTCCATCGCGTTGTTTGAAGGAATGTTTCAGAAAATTCCATAAACCCAGATTTCTTCCCTCCTTTAATGAGGCTTCTGCTGTTCTGCTAAAAAATGTTTCACATCATTCCAAAAAGTCCGGGCCCGCCTAGATTTCTAATATGCATATGTTTTTTTCGGATTGATGAAATTTCCTAAATAAAAAATTCCTTAAAATCTCTAAAAATAAGTGTCCTGATATACTATTTTTTGCGAAAGTTCAGGCATTTTCTAATAAAGTTCTCGTTTAAAAATGTTTCACAAACTTTGAAAGAACGGAATAGATGACGGAATTTAGTAGGTGACTCTTGTTTCCGAATCTTAAAAAATTGTTGAAAACGAAGATTTTGTGAAAAGATGGGTTCTGGGCTGTTAGCGGGGGGCCACTTTTTGTTGTTTCCACCTGTGGCATCCACCTGTTGTAGTATGTAACGTATTTTTATAGTGGTTTTTTTTGTATTCATTGCCAGGAAGTTATAAAAGGTATTTTTTGGAATTTTGAAAATTCTTTTCTAACATATTTGGCCAAAAACTCAAAAAGTTTCAAAAAACTGTATTTTCTATATTGTTTTATTACTAAAAAACCATGTAAAATGCTTTAAAAATCGGGTATATTTTGTTATAGGGTCGTAGAGAATCGCGGGAAAAGATTTTTTCCCCCGCTAACAGAAGAGAACCAAAAAATGTTTCATAAAATTCCAAAAACCAATTTTTCGGACGTTAATCCCTCCAAGGATCCCCGAAGAATTACCTACCTCTCCGATAAATCATCAACCAGAATCGTCAGCGCCGTGCAGTCCGCTTGCATACTGTAGACGTGCACGCGGAATTCGGCGGAATCTCCCTCTTGCTCGACGCACACGTCAAACGTGTTATCCGCAGCAATTCGGGCCGTTCCTCTAATTCGGACGTCCGGCTGGATGACGGCTTGCAGTTTGCATCTCTGGCGTTTTTTCACGAAATTGAAGTCTTTGTAGGTGGATTCGACGGTTCCGTGAGGCTCCGCTGGGTACTCGTCATCTGAATCAATACAATTAATAGGAGTTATAATTAATAAACTAATCAAAAATTAAATTTAAACTTAATTTAAAAATTGGTAAAAGTAAATTTTCTAGTTTTAAAGTTAGAAAAATGTTTCATTTTTTGCCGGTTTTAATTGCCTTTAAATTTTATTTTAATTTCGCTAACCTTTTACATTACTCTTATTTGTGGTTTACGGAAAGTTTTCGCTGATAAATTTTAATGAACATAAGATTCAAAATTTCAAAGACCCCAAATATTGATAATCCGCTGAATGGGCGAAAAATGTTGGCGACACTCAATGACAATTGTCTTATTTAATATAAACTAAGGAATTACTAAAATTTTTATATTAGTTACGATTTCTATTTAGCATTCTCGTTATTTATTTTATTTATATTAATTAAAGGATTATTGGGATTAATAATTGATTGAAAAATCCCAGAAAACTCTTCGGATGTTTCAATTCCCTACACGTTTGAATGGTTTATCTAAGCTTTAATTAGTTTGGAGGACAAGGAGTAGGTTTAAACTACGAAAGTGATAACACCCTAATATAACTTTCTTAAACCTCTAATTTTGACAATGAAATTCTTGGTTTCGGTTTTAATTCCCTTTTTAATTTATTATACTTTTTAATACATTCATATATCTGATCCGAGTTTTCGCTAAATTCGCCAGACTTGGCATGCAAAAAAATGTTTCAAATTGAGAACGGCTGCAAAAACGCGTCAATATTTTAATGTACTTGGGATACTTAAAAAGAGCTTTCGATCTAAGGTTTTAAAATTACTTTTTAATAATGAGAATATTGATATGACAAAAAATATATTATATATAATTATATATCAATTATTAAAGAAGCCTACCGGACACAATATCCGTTTCCTGAATGGTGACCGGGCTCAACATATCCGAGTCGATTTGAGACAATGCGGGTCATCTACCATCACATTAATGGTATCCTCTTCGTCTTCAGCCCCATCTACGTGGTGTCCAGAGTACTCCTCCGTACGCTCAGTGATTGTCGAGAGGGCGACGGGGCCTGAAAATAAGGCTTAAATTATTTTTTTGCATTTTAACGTTATTTAAATCGAAGGGTTTTTGCTTAAAATCTCCAAAAAAAACTAATAAAATGGCTATATTTGCTTAAAATCTGCATTTTCTAGTCGAAAGTGAAAATAGGAGCAAAAGGCAACCGCAAATTGAAAATTGTGGTTCTCATAGCGATGCCTAGCTACGCAATTTGGAATTCTTATAATGCTCGTCTCCGGAGATTCTTTGACCAAATTTTTTTAATGTCTTACTTTTTCATTCCTGCAAATTTTCTAACATAAATAGACGAAATGTTAATGACATTTTTATACTGGTATTAACTAAACAACTCTCACAACTTTTGATGAAAAACAGGAAATAAAGATTTTCTCGATAAAAAAGGAGTATTTCTACAGAGATTCCAAAAATTCTAAACTTTTTACGGATGGTTTTTGAAGTGAGAGCGTTTTCTGTTTTGTAAAATAGTATATTTTGTTTCAACCCTATCAAAATAGGCGCTAATGTGTTGCTAGACAGTGATGAGCGAGGGGGAATAAAATTGGTTTTTTCCGATAATACGACACAATCGAAATCAATTAAAAACCAAATTGTGGGTCACGGTGGAAGCGAATGTAAACTATGCAATTTTAGTAGCTAGAACACGGTTTTGGAGAATTCTAAAAGTATAGTTCCAATGCCCGGGCCAGATACCTGGATGGGAATTCCGTTATTAAAACCTCCTTCCGAGATGTCTGCAAATATGATGAAAAACGGCACCAGACTGTAAAAATAAATCTAATTAGAAGAATATTAGGCGTTCCATAAATCTCAGATACAAAAAGAGCGAAATTGAAAATATGGAAAACTAATCCCTTTCAAAAATCTTTTTTAAGTTTCGCAAAAGATATTAGTTAGCTTCGGAGCTGAAAACTGAGGAAAAAAAATATGTTTCGTAGTATGAAGGGATAGCCAGGACTAGGCTTTCCTTAATTCTGGTTGGCAAACAGTGAAAATCATGAAACCTCTGAGTTTATTATTACTATTGTTGATTTGGATAGGTGCAAGCATAAAAAAACACGGTTAAATTTTAGAAAAATTCTGTGAGCAATATAAGTGACTGACGTAGCCGTCCATATCTTTATTTCGAGTTGGAGGTCAGGGAAATCAATAAAGACTAAAAATAAGGCGAGGTTCATAGAATAAAAATTAGAAACCAACCTCGAAACCTTGAATCTGACATTTAAAGCATTTTTGGCGTAGTTTGAAAGCAAAAGCCAAATTTTTTAAAATCCGTGTTTCATCCCCTGTAGTAGAACAACCGTACCTACGACTCAACTAATCGAGTCGCTGTCTGTTTTCGAAAAAATAAAAAAATGAAATTTTTCATTGGGTTTCGGCTTAAAATAAAAACACAATAATTTAAATTTTCTAAAAAATAGTTAGAAACTCGAAGGTAACCCGTTCAATATACTTCGCCAACCATCCTGGTGGTACCGCCCCAGGGGTAGTTGGAGGGTGGGGCTGGGGCTGGTTGGGGGTGGTCGTCAGGGGTGGCTGGGGTGGTCAAAGG